AGACAAAAGAATAGGGACGGGACCTGCACCAGTGGGAGGGAGCCGTGAAGGAGGAAAGGTTTCCACACACTAGGAAGCCCCTTCGCGGGCGGAGACTGTGGGTGGCGGAGGGGGAAAGCTTCGGAGCCGCGGGGGAGAGCGCAGCAACGGGGGTGCGGAGGGCAAAGCGATGGATACTCACCTCCTCCTAACTCCTTCCCTGAAAAGAACTATGGTCTTTTGCCTTCTACAAAATTCTTTAATACCTTTGTATATGTAGAGCCAAATGCAATCTTGTTTTCACCACTAGGTTACCCTACTTCCATCCAGCATTCATTAGACATTCTCTTGCAACGTATTTATTGATGTATGTGGACTCTCTCCTCTGTTAAGGTGTTATCAGCTTTGTATATCTCACTGCAGGAAGCACTGACCTTCGTACATACACTGTTGCAATAATAATTGTAGTTAACAATGATCCTGCACTCACTGTGGGCTAGGCACTGTGCTAACCTCGTTCGTAGCACTGACTTACTGAGTTTTCACAACAGCCCTGCAAAGCAGTGTGATATCCCCATTTTTCAGATGAGGAAACTGAGACCCAGGGAGGTGGAGACGCTAGCCCGAGTTCCCACAGCTTAGGAAGTCACAGAGCTGTGATTTCCACCTTGGTCTCCTTCCCTGCAAGGCCCAACTGCAAGAGCTCCCCTCTTCTGTGAGTCATGGATTTTAACCTGCATGAGGAATGGGTGTAAGGAAGGTTTGCAGAGGGAGCATTTTACTAGGAATCAGACTACCTGGGCCCTTGAACCCGCTTTGCTGGTTACTTTGTCATATAAACTCAACCAAGTGGCTTCACAGCTCTGAGTTTCAAAATCCACATTTACAAGTTGGGGATAAAAATAACTCCAGTTCTCACCTGAAGAGACTTTTGTGGGGATGGCCTGAGTTCGAGTATGCAAAAGTCTTTTGTGAACAGTGAGCAAAGCAGCTGGAGACAGAGGTGATGTGTGATATGGTGGAGATGGTATTGAGACCAATACTGGGTGGCAACACGTGGGCCTCGATGACCCCAAGTCACAAAGTGATTCCAAATATTCAAATTCTCATTGTGGGGAAGGTTAAGGATTATTACCTCAACCAGTTACTTTTGAGTATATTTTCCTTTCTACCAGAGTGCTATATCATACAAGTCTGTCTAAACGAATTTAAAAGTACAATAAAAATTCTAAGTGGTACAAAAGCATGGTGTTATAATTTAAATGGTGGCATATCTGTCCTGATTGGTACATAAAATATTGGAAGGTCTTATAACTGATGTATCTCAGATTCAGTGAAATACCCCTGCCACAAAGGAAAAATGTAAGGGTCATGAGAACATGTAATGAGGCATCTTACCTTATCTGGGGTCTCGGGGAGGGCTTCCCTGAGGAAGTGACATTAAGGTCCATGCAAGGAGAGGAAGCCGGGAAAGGACCACTGAATTTTCCTAGAAAGGAGGAAAGGAAAATATAGCCCCCATTTCATCCTGCTCTCACGGGATTTCCCTACCTGTGTCTTCGGCAGGCCAGACTAGCAGCTCCCTTACATGCAGTTCAAGGCCAGCTGTGTTGTATTTGGTGATGACCCTGCTTCTTAACCTGGGGATGAATGACACTGGCTGAGGCAAGGAGAACCCAGCTTTTTGCCTCAATTTGCTGCTCCTAAACCTGTGCCCGATTCTGACATTGATTTCTCAGATCTTCAGCCTTCTTTTGGTTTGGGGCTTCATTTCTGTGAGCTTATGACCTGACAGCATCACTAGAAGAAGGATTTTTTAAATGCTGCTTTGCAGCAGTGGGAAGGGATTGCTGATCGTGGGCACATACAGAAAAGGGTCAACCCGAGACTCTGGAGGCCTCCAAAGTGAACTTCAAACCAAGAACTAGGTGAAGGTGAAAACAAAACAAAATGACATCTTTGTAATACATAGACAACAACAGACTAACCAATAAGCAGCCAGTTGTAAAAGGAGGGAGCTGGCCTGATGCCATCTAAGATCTCTGCTAGTCTCGTATTCTAAAATTATGAACAACACATAGCAGTGGCATTGGACATGAAGGCAAAGAGTCCATGCCACGTGGGTTTAGAAATCACACGAACACTTTGAAGGTCTACCGCATTCTGAGTGCGGTTGCTAAATATTCTGTAAGGAGACAGAGAAATGTAAACCTGAACACTCGAGTCTGCAGTCGGGTCTGGGAGGTGACACGTGTGAAAGAATTAGACAAATTCTAATTTGCCTAGTTTCTCAAATCTCCTTGAGAAACCGCTACAAGGAGAGCCAATGGGAATTCACAGAGGGAGAGTTCAGCTTGGGATGGATGGAACGCTGTCCGTCAGCTATTGCCACAATAATTCTGGGTAGCTGCCCCATGCTCCCCTTACAAAATCTCAGTGACGTGTAACAATAAGCATTTATTTCACTACTAGGTCTGCAAGTTTCGGCTACCCTGGCCGGGCTCAGCTGATCTCAGCGGGGTTTGCTGTGGCTCAGCTGGACGGCTCTGCTGACCTTGGCTGGGCTCACTTGTATGTCTGAGGGTCTGCTTGTTATTAGCTGATGTGGTGTGACTGAGGTCACTTGGCTCTGCTCCTTTCATCTTTCTTCCTCTCACTGGCTGGCCCAGGCGCGTTCTGCTGACAATAGTTTTGGTCCAAGAGCACACATGGAAGCATTGTATCACTCTGCTAACTTCCCAGAAGACGAAGAAGGCCATCTGCGGAGTGAGCTTCGATAGCTTAGATGTGCTGCCCCCGAGCTGAGGGACTGTTTTCTTCACACCTAAACTTGTCGTCACGTGGTCCAGCAGAGGATCACCGAGCCGCTTCCACAGCAGTCTGCACAAGTGGTTTGCATGCTAACCTCCAGAATGTTCCAGCCTCGTCAGATAGTTTCGGGGTCAGTGGAGAAGGGGAGGTGACACTTCAGGCTTTGACTCTGCATGGGGATGCAATGCGATAACCCTTCATGGTGATTCTGGTCTGATTTTCTGAATTAATGCTCAAGAACTATTTCAGACCGAGTTTAGGCACCACCCCAGTTCTGCTGGTGCCCATCTCTCCCTCCCTCTAGCCCTTGGGCACCTGTGTTTGTCAGGCAGAGCAGCCTCAGTGACTACTCCCGTCCCTGCGCTTGTGAAGTGCCTCACTGGGCTTCAGCCTGGCCTCTCGCTGCCACGTCTCCAGCACCAGGTCTGAACCACAAAGGCTTTGGTTTCCCTAGAAGCTTCTGGAGAGGCTGAAGAACACAGCCTGGCGGTGTGGGGGAGTTAACACCTTCTGGGGTGAGCTGTGACAAGGAAGGGACAAGTGGCAGGAAGGGACTGGCTTCACGGCCCTCCTACTCCCATCAGAGTTCCAGATGCAGTGGTTCCACAGAGCTTCTTTTTTCTTTTTTAATGTCTTTATTGGAGTATAATTGCTTTACAATGGTGTGTTAGTTTCTGCTTTATAACAAAGTGAATCAGTTATACATATACATATATGCCCGTATCTCCTCCCTCTTGCGTCTCCCTCCCTCCCACCCTCCCTATCCCACCCCTCTAGGTGGTCACAAAGCACCGAGCTGATCTCCCTGTGCTATGAGGCTGCTTGCCACTAGCTATCTATTTTACGCTTGGTAATGTATATATGTCCATGCCACTCTCTCACTTCATCCCAGCTTACCCTTCCCCCTCCCCATGTCCTCAAGTCCATTCTCTACATCTGCATCTTTGAAGGCCATTATTCAGCCTATCACGAGGCCTGTTCTTCCCTCGCTAACGGAGCTATTTCACGCACCAGCCCCAGAATGTTTCCTAGCACCCCCTGCCCATGTCCTAACCATACCCCTTCAGTACTTAACATTTTTGTGCATGCCAGCGCTTTCCAACTGCCTCCACCTGCTTCTCTCTCTGCCTGAAGGCTTTTGGCCACTGGGGCCTGCTCTGCCTGTGTATATGGCCGGGGGCCGGACGGGGGGAGGAGAAGTCAAAGAATTGACGTCCCCTCCCGCCCTTCCCTCTCAACCCTGAGAGCAAGGCCTTAAGCAGTGCCTGACAGCATCTGGTGGATCAATACCCCAGCTCTCTTGTTCCTTGGTTGGGATAACTGAGGTGTGTTCTACACTGCCCCCCAGAGGTCCACAGAGGGATTGCTCTCCGGTTGCTCGCAGTGATAAGTAGCTTGATAACACTCCCTTTGTTGGCGACCTTCCCTGCCCTGTCTCTCTTACTCTACTCTCCTACTGGCATGTTCTAGAATTATCTCCCAAATAAACTACTTGCACTTGAATCCTTGCCTCTAAACTAAGACACGCATCTTGCAAATATTTCTTCCAAGCCTTGTTCATGCAGTTCTCCCGCCTGAAATGTCCCTTTTCTTCTCATGCCCAACTGCTCATCTTTCTAAACCCTCTTCTGCCCTGGGGTCTCCCCCAGCACTCTGTACCTACCAATCTCTCCTCTTCCTGCCCATCCCAAGTGATCACAATAGGCTATTATCTGTACAAATAATCGAGAGAGACAGCGTGGCATAAAGGTTAAAACAGTGGATTCTGAAGCTAGACTATATGGATTCAAAACCTTCTCCACCACTTACTAACTGAGTGATGGTGAGCAGGTTACTTAATCTCTACAAGCCTCAACATGGGGGTGGTAATTGAACCTACCTCCTGGGCTCGCTGTAAGAAATAGATGCTAGCAGAGGCAGCACTGGGCACATAGCAAACACCTAATAAGTGGTGGTTATTATTGGTCGCTTTAACAAGTTAGTATCCAGTGCACTTTTAGCATTGCACGAGCCTCTTTCATATACGTATCAAATGGGTAGTCAAACAATTAGTTCTGAGGAGAGTTCAATAGCATTTTCTCCTCTGGAAGGCAAGTTCTTTGAAAGCAGGGACCAGTCTGTGTTTACCTCTGCTTATACACAGTGCCTGGAGTGGTGAATTGGTGTTTGACGATATATATATATATATATATATATATATATATATATATATATAAAATTATTTATTTTTGGCTGCATTGGGTCTTCGTTGCCGCGCGCAGGCTTTCTCTAGTTGCGGCGAGCAGGGGCTACTCTTTGTTGTGGTGTGCGGGCTTCTCACTGCGGTGGCTTCTCTTATTGCGGAGCACGGGCTCTAGGCACACGGGCTTCAGTAGTTGTGGCACGAGGGCTCAGTAGTTGTGGCACACAGGCTTAGGTGCTCCGTGGCATGTGGGATCTTCCCGGACCAGGGCTCAAACCCGTGTCCCCTGCATTGGCAGGCGGACTCTTAACCACTGCGCCACCAGGGAAGCCCTGACATTTTTAAATGAATATTATATCTAAAGGACAGAAGGAGAAAGGAGAAGGGTCTGAAAAAGGACGAGGGAGGAAGGGACCACACGGGGAAAGACAGTCAGCTTCTTTGTAGTTCTCCCTGGAGCTCATCGGATGCCCGAGAGGGCAGGCTGAGTGGGGCAAACAGCCAGGAAGCTCTGGGCAGCAATGAGAACCAGTTTTGCCTCTGGCCCTGTGATAGACAGGGATGCACCACTGCTCAGATCCCGCGGCAAGGAAGGGCTCCCTGCCCAGCTGCGAGGCGCGTGGTCAGCACACAGCCTCTAGCTGCCAGCTCCTTCAAGGAGCATCTCAGCTGCCAAGAGCTGTCTGGCCTGAGGTCATGCCTTTCCCCAGGGTGGGCCACGTCATTTCTGCCCAACGTGAGACTTCCTACGGGCAATCCTTGTCCAGAGCACCCCACTGGGTTGGCCGAGTCTTTGGTGCACATGGCAGCTAGACCCTCCCTTCCCACCTGCCCGCCCCCCACTCCTGCTTCCTTCCCCTTTTCCACAGGTGTTGACCTCAAACAAACTTCTAGACCCACAAACTCCACCTCTGCTTCCACAAAGTACAACCTGTGATGGGAACAAAGACTCGACCTCCTTCCAAGTTCAAGTTAATGCTTGAGGCTCTCTTTGGAAGTTCAGGGACCCAGAACCACCTTCTTGTTTTCTTCTCTGGCAGTTTAACTCCTCAGTGATGTTAAGTGTCCTGACTTAAGCCTGGGAATATTCTGAGCTCACTGTCCTTTGGCCCAGACAAAGAGAGCTGTTTATCTTTCAACTTCACTTAGAACGGTAAATAAAAAAACCTCATTAATTCAGACTGTTCTTATTTGGAATTTGTGATGATCCAGTGAGGGGCCCCCATGGATGTTTGTTTACTTTTGCATTATCAGGGGAAAAAGAGCCTGCCAAGCCAATGGCGAAAGTGAGCACGATTGTAAAGGAACCATTTCAACAACTTTGAGGAAAAACACCCTTCTCTCGCTTTAAAAGCATCAGTTTACAGGCAGAAATTCAGGTGACATTCTTATCAGTTTATTGATCTCAAAATACTTTTTAAAGCAACCCATTGGTGGTCTAGTTGGCATCGCTCTATGTTAAATTCAGTTTGACATTTACTGAGCTCCCATTCCCT